GGCGGTGCGACCCAAACGTGCGAGACTTGTACGGCGTGACGCCGCTGCACAAGGCGGTCGCCTTCGGGCAGGCGACGAGCGTGGCGGCGCTGCTCGACGACCCGCGCACCGAGGTGGACCGGCCGGTCGGCGAGCCGAGGGCGCCGGCCGAGCACGGTGCCCTCTCCGGCGGCGAGACGCCGCTGCTGCTCGCCGCCTCGCACACGTACCACTTCCACCACACGAAGCACACGCGCATCGCGAGCCTGCTGCTTGCTGCGGGCGCAGACCCGAACCTGGTCGTCGCCGAGGCGGGCGGTCAGACCGCGGCGCACCGCGCTGCGCAGGCGGGGAACGCGGGGGTGGTGGCGAGCCTCCTCCGGTGCGGCCGTGCGCGGTGGGAGCTGCGCGACGACCGAGGCCGCACTCCGCGCGAGCTCGCCGAGGAGCACGGCAGGACAGAGGTGACGAGGCTACTGGATGCCGCGGGGGTGACACGGACAGGCAAAAATAACGATATATAACGAAACCAGAGTGCACAGAGACAGAGCCTCGGTTTTACCCATCTCCTAGAAGGGGTGTCCGTTTGTATTTTCGGCTGAGTGCTGAGATCTGAGTGAACCTGTGCGACAACCTTGATCCTTCTACCTTGCGAGAGAGAGAGATGCAGATCTCTTTTTGAAATCTCTCTCTATCTCTTTCTTCTTGAGAACCTGAGAGAGGTTTTCTTCAAGTCTCGTTGATGCGAGGCGGAGAACTCCTCCCTGCCTTCGGGCCCCTTCTCGCCTTCGGGCACCACGCACTCTCACACGCCAATACACGCGCGGCCGGCGCCCCTCATGCCCTTCTCCACGCACACCGCGTGAAAACTGCGCGTACGTCCCCGCGCGCACGCAAACACACGCGTAGCGCCCAGAAGCCTGTGTCATGTGCGTCTGCCCTGTGCTGGCGCCCCATGGCCGTCCCGCGCCGCCCGCACCAGCCACGCGCCCCTCGCACCACCAGAGCAAGCCGCATATCCACTCACGCCGCGACGCGCGCGCCGCAGCACACCTCACCAGCACTACCTCGCCTTTTTGCGCCATGTGCAGGCTCTGCACACTGCTTCTGGCATCTCACAAGCGGCTGTACCAGGACGCGCCGCGAGTACGACGCAGATTCTG